GGCCGCCGCTGGGGCACTCAGTCCCCGACGACCCCGCAGAACTCTCGAGCGACCCGCAAAGATGTCCCAATGGCAGGGTGGGGGGTCCCGCTGGAGCCGGGGGAGAAAATGCCCCTTGTGCGTGGTGGCCTCGGCCAAGCTTTCGAAATGGGTCGCCAAGTCAACAGTACTTCTCGAGCAGGACGGAAGGACCGAGTGGCATCCTCCGTGCCAGGCTGCGCCGCGGGGCAGACCCGGCAGCCGGCGGCCACCGGCCCTGAAAGAGTCCACGAAGGTAGGGAAGCCAGGCTCGGAGACAGACGCAGGGCGGCCAGAGACTCCAGTCCTCTGCCCAGAAGTTTCACGTCCTTAGCCTTTTCCTCTCCGTAGGAAAGCTACTGCGAGGAACTACTTATATTTAGCAGGGACATTTATTATACTAGCTGAACGAGGTTGTGTGTATGCCTACATGGTGCGAATTTAAAATCACCAGAAAAAGAGAGACAGTTCCCCTGGAAAGTAGAGATGGTTTTATTTTAAAAATTACACGAGCGCTCAGTGTAAAAATGTTACAAAAAGTAATTCAGGCACCTTAACATTTTGGCTGCTACCCCAATCAGTATCTCAGATCACTTCCGTGTTTAATGGTCCACTATGCCAGCTATATTTAAGGATAATAAAGCTTTAAGGCCTAACATAAAGGTGATTATAAGTCGTTAACATCAACACAAGTGTAGGCCTATTCGAACTGTTCTGCAATGATTTGTTATCAATCAAACTGATGCTCGCATTGAAATTAAACCTGGGCTAAAATGTTTGGTAGAGGGGACAATGTTTCTTGTTTTATCTTTAAGGGGGATGGAAAAGGTTTTTACTGGACCCTAAATATAATTAAAACCTTACACAGATTTTTCGTTAAGTCTAACCGATGCCAAAGGCTAATTATTCGTGGATATCTTTGGAAAGACCCATTATAATGGGGTTCCAAATACACCCGGTGGAAGGAGTGCTCAGGCCCTCTGCAGGTCCTGCTCAGTTGGTGCCTGGGTGGCATAGCATTCAAACAATTTGCTGGGAAGCCACGATATTTTTCATTTCCAGAGTTCTGCCTTTAGAGAAGACACTAACTACTAACAGTTTCCTAACCACCCACTCACATATACTTTCAGTGCTCACTTTAAGGAAAAGCCATTGAAATAGAAGCTTTAATAATATCTTCCTGCGATATCTTTTGTAGGGGAGGCCAGAGGGCTCTGTTGGACTTAACATGAATTTAAACTGTTACTCATGAATGGAAGTTAGCAGCAAGTTCGAGTTGCAGAATTTGTGTGGCACGGATATTTTCTAGCAAATGGATTCACAAACGCAGTATTCCTGTACAAAAGAACTAAGATCAAAGGGACAATTTTTGTGTCTCCAGAGTGGACACCTGATTCTGATAAAGCGTGCGTTCTGTACATGCTCCGTCAAGGTTTGCGTTCTTAGGAAGCAACCTGAGTTTGGGGTGAGATGGCTGGCACCTTTCCACACGTTTGAAGGTTGTAATACTATCCCGTCAGTGCACATGTTATAAACAAGTCCCGCTTCCCCCACTTTCAGATTCTGGCATCTTTCACCAAGAAGTCAATGCGTGAAGTGGCAGCTTCAACAGCCCCTGATGTGGTCCAACACCAGGTGGTTAACCTTCTCCCTTCCCCCTATGCCAAGTCCCCACAGGCTGGCCCTAGGAATCCAAGTCCCTGAGGATCAGGAAAGGCCCTCCCAGAACTTTTGAAGTCAACTCCCTTCAGTATGCAAGGGAGTTGTTTTTTAAATTATTTGTTCCCAGCAAATGAGCAAGAAATGCTTAGTGAACATGATAGTGTCATGTTCACTCTTTGGGACTTTTAAAAGCCCATTTAAAATAATCCTGCCTTCAGGATTGAGAGTTTAGTTTCTCCCTCTCACTTGCACGTAGAAATTAGGCCAGTCATCCACATTTAACTACCAGGAACATACCTGTTTAGGGAGAAAAGAAACATTGCTTTTCCAAGTATAGAACTGTGATGGTAATTATTAAAAATACTTCATGAGTTTAATTTCAGAGAGGTACTTCTCAACATTGCTTTGTAGTTCTGGGTACTAGTTTGCACTTCACTGCTTCTCTTGAAAGTTTCTGTGCCTTCACATCTTGCAAACTACTGGACTACTGCGCTAACTGAAGGCCACTTTTAGCATTTAATTAGCACGCACAAAAGAAAGACACGAGGACAAGCTGCCTATATAAACTGAGAAACAAAGACATTAAAACAGTTTTCAAACTTTAATTTTTCTTTGGCCTTTATTATATCTTTCTGGTTCCACATGAAATACTGGTAAGAATCATCCACATACACACCTTGGAAATACTGGTCTTCTGGCAAAAAAAAAAGGGGGGGGGGTAAATATTTCAGTTATTAAACACATTGCATATAGCCTTTTCATGGAAAATACGGAGATCCTAACTCAATGTGGACTTCTCTTTCACTGATAACTAAAAACTGTCAATGAATCTTCAAACTAAAGTCCTGGAAGTCACATCACCTAACTGATTTTCAAAGAGTTGATGCAGGATACAATGACTTGGAAAACGAAATACTCTCACCAAGATAGCACAGACAGGTTCAGTACTTCTCATCCACCAGCAAGTTAAGACTTCATTGTACCAAAGGAGCAAGTCAACTCATCTACTTCTGCAAACTCTTCTTCAGCTCTTCTTCCACCTGCTTTTGTCAGTTTTTCCCCCTGCTTCTCGCTTCACACAGAACGTCAACTCCAGTGAAGGGCTGCTTCTGCAGTTTCCCTTATTGCTACTGGACTACTTTGCACTGACGCCCCTTATGCTCCGAGAGAGAGCGTTGTTCTGTTACAGATACACCATTTTCTCTTTCAAAAAACCTGACAATATTTAAATTCAAATTTGGAACCAATTTTACTGGTACTATTTGAAGAAAATGCTTTTAAAACCATTTTTTTCTAGTATTTTTTATTCGTTCCTTCTAACCTGTACTAGAGAAGATGACTTCCATTAGGCATTATAGCTTCCTTCCTCTTCCATTTGCCACTGTTTTCCTCAGATAAACTGTGGGGTCCAATTTGCAGCAGCCTCCCTTAAAGACCTGAGTTTTTGCTCTCATCCTCTCCTCAGCTGAAAAGTGAAGGCCTTTCCGGGTGACAACTCCTGCGCTCCTTTCCGGCCAGAGGCCCCCGACTAAGATTGGTGGTCGCTTCTCAGAAACATCTCTCCTTGTGCCCAGTTCCCCACACAGCGCTACCCTCCTGGTGGCAACTGCATGCTGACTCTGTATTTCCTGTCTACAAAACCAGCCTTCCTTCTTGAGTTCACACTCTTCTCAAGATACCCAGCACTCCTGGCTTCCACAGAAAACTTCTTCAATGGATGTTAGAAATCTCGCAGCCTCCAGACCTTCCTTGTCCCTGGGAACCAGCTCAGCGAGATGAAGAGGCCTGGAGTCGGAGTTTGAAGATCCTGTACAAAGAAATCGCTCAACTCTGATTAAATGTTGATATTTTAGTTTCTTAATCTGCTATGTCACAGATTTAGAATCAGCATGGGTTCCAGTGAAAAGAGCGCAGGTTTTGGTCAGGAGATTTGGGGTGTAGTTCCTCAGCGACAGCCAGCAATGCGGCTGAATCAGACCCTGGCTATCATGGGTCTGCTTCCACACTCCACACAAGGAGGAGTCTGGGCTCAAAGATTTCTGTACTAGTAGGCCCTTCTCAGAACGAGGAGTCTATGAAAAGTGACCACAGTTGGGAGGGGTTTTAGGGCTTAAATGAGATAATCTGCTTATTG